TTCATCCCACGGTCGAGCACTCAGGGACATGCCTGTATAGCTGCTGTGTTTACATTGCACTAAATAGCAAAATTTGGGGACACCGTAAGTGTCCTTCAACCAGAAAATGGATCAACGTATTTTTTATGTAATGAAATGCCACATGGGAGTTGAAGTGGCTGATTCACAGCCATGTGTTACAACACCGGGTTCAAACACAATGCTAAACAGAAAAAGCAAGCTGCAGGATGATAGCAGAGTACACCTTCTCTATATAAAGTTTATGGAAAATACTCTTATTTGTATATAGAGTAGTATAAAATTGTGCGTAGGTTGATAAATAAAGAGCGTGGGTCCTTCTGTGTGAGGCAAGGTGGCTTCGTCCTTATCTCATTTTCTCACATGGGTCCTGACGGTTGGCAGGACTGGGTAGGGAGTGCACCAGGCTTGCTGTCTTCCTAAGGTTCTTTGTTTGCAATATTTCACAGTAACAAATATTTCCTCCAGTGAAAGAAAGAGACACTGCCCTGAAAGCAAACTGGCCTGTTATTTCAGGAAAGCGTCCGACTGTTCCCATGTGTTCCCAACGAATGGCATTTTAGAGATGTTTAATTATATGCATGTGCATGAATATGTAATTTACATGAGGGCATTTGTAAACAGCTCTGTTCATGGCGGCTATATACCACAGACCAGGTGGCCACAGTGGGGGGTTGTTATAAACCATGGCATTCTAATACAATGAATATTATTAGTTATTAATACAATAAGCATCAGACATTAGGTGTAATTTATACAAAATAACAGTAAGTGAAAACACAGGTTACAAAGTAGATTCTGAGTCCCTGTGGCTGGGTGTGGGGAGATGTCTCCAGCTGACCTCTGTGCCTCTTATCACCCAGGGCCATCCCACTCGCGATTTTCCAGGCAGAGCCCTCGGTGAGGAGGCACTTTCTCCGGAAATGGCTGAAGAGCTCTTCCATTCAAGACTTTGATATTCGGATGGTGGGTGCTGACTTTTATTCTACTCAGTTTAGGAGGAAACTAGACAGCGGAGTGTCCCCGACTCAGGCAGCTGTTTGTCTGGACTCTTAACGTAATGAGTGGAACATGATTACGGTTTAGGGCC